TTGAACAACGTAACTTACTTCAGGTAAAAATAATAATAATAATAATGGCAGCTGCCATATTGGAAATGCTGCTGACTCCAACGAACTTGGTCAAAATGAGAAGCAGGTACAGAGGCAGGCTGAATGAATATCTTGATAGCTGAAACACTACCACCTAACTAGCCTAGCTCATCATCTAGCTGACATATTCAAAGCAATGAAAATATCACAAACAAAGCTGAAAGTTCAAGGTCAGTAATGGGTTTTAGCTGAAGTGAAAGCTAGCCTCCTGGCAAACAGCTCGCCTGTCAGTCAAATCAGTCACCTCTCACCATAAAAAGCTATTTAGATCCAAAAAACCTATTTTGAAGGAGTCAGTAAACATGTAGATTCTGTTGTAAAAATGGGCATTCTAAAACTGGCTCTAATGGGGATTTTTGGCTTTTGGCAGCCAGAACTGCAGGTTTTTGCACTTACAGTATAGGCAATGGCTTTATTTCTCAAACACTTAGTTCCCATTCATAACACAAACCCAATCTACTGCATACAGTGCATCATCCGTTCAACAACACCCCCTTCTTAAGGCCACTTTCTCACTCTTTAAACTTCTTCTTAATTACTAACCCATTTGCATCTCCGTCCTTATGTAACTGTGACTGGTTTCACTTCACTCATTTTTGATAACTCCATCTCAGGTGAGTCCAAAAATTAGTAGTAGGGCTCTATTTTATGTATCTAAGCTCCAAATTACAACTTCCGACAGCCATTTAATGGGCTGTTAAAATCTAAATGAACTGTGTAATAGACTGCAGAAACACTATTAATTTTGATATTTTTCTAATAGAGCTTCTGTACTTTTAAAGGACCTTTGCTGGAGTATATTTACAATGTTGCACTGGTACTTTTTCATTAGTAAATGATCTGTGGACATCTTCCACCACTGCAGATGTTTAAGGAGAAACAAGCAAAGGGAGGTGTTTGTGTGTGATTTTTTTTACCTTATAGACTTCCACTAAAGTTGAAGGGCATTAGATGCCATAAATCAATAATGATACCCAGCCTGGATCAACCTTAAGCTTGGCTAAAAAAATCATAGCGGCAGATGGCTCTACTTTCTTCATCACTTCTGTCACTCACCTCTCTCGCTCTCACTCTCTCCTGTTTTTCTTTGTGTTCTGTCCCTCTCTCTGGGCTTCTCTCCAGTTTTTACGATGAGCCGACGGCCAACAACACAAACATTGGCCCCGCTCTTCCGTCCGGCAGAGAGGACACAGAACAGCAGGGCAGTACAGCAAGGTTGCAATATAACTTTCCGCATGATCCCTCTGCAACGCCTACTCACCATACCTCAACAGCTCGCCGCTGTTTCAGAGCGAGATGATAGCTGCTTAAAAAATGACCATTGAAGGCAAAAGAACGGCAGAGAGCCGGTGCAGAAAAGTAAAGATGCAAACCTGTAGCTAGCTGTAGTGTTTGTTAGGGTCAATTGAAAGCAGTTTGTGGTAACCTTTTGTAGCTTGGACTTGGATGTAACTGCCTGACCCTTTTTGATAACCTTAGAATTAGGGTATCATGGTCTACACAAAGTGTCAAGAGCTCCAAAGACAGAAGGAACATTAAATCAATTTTGACATTTAAAAGAAAAAACAATAATCAACCATTAAGAAAATATACCTCAGATTAATATAAATCATTAAATGCAGCCCTTTAGATGTCTTTTTTTTTTTTAATTATACTGTATGGTACATCTTTTTTAGAGTATTTCTTTTGCCCAGAGTATTTACTGGATCTTCCTCCCACCCACTGGAGTGCAATGGAAAACTGCCCTTCACCTTATTTTTGTAATAGTAGCGCTTTAACTAGCCACTGTGATCGACACTCTCGATCTTCTTGTCATTAAAACCCCTCCTCTGTCCTTTTTGGATCTACTCTTTTCAACCTGGTTATAGTCTGCTCGCCTCGCTGTCTGTTCTGGGGACGGTCAAGCTCGTCTGGCAGTTTGAAGCCCACCACTCCTGTCTGACCTCGACAAGGGAGGTCCGGGAAAGTTTGAGCATTTGCAAGACAGGAGCATTGATCAACAGTTGACAGAATACAAAGATAACTGATTACGTTTTGTGCCTGTTTATGTGTTTCAGTTTGTTTGTACTGTGTTATTTGTGGAAAGAGTTTGGGAGTCCTTTTTCCAGATGTGTTAGGGTAAGGCCATAACCATCACACCTTTGAACATAAGACTGAGCTTAAGTACGATCAGCTGTCAACAGGATCATAGATTCACTGGTATAAATTAGGATAGTAAGGATATTTTACGCTGATTCTGGCAACAAATTTACTTTTCAGTTTGATTTGGAGGAGGCTTTTGGCCTGAGCTTAATTCTAACATAAATCCTGAATATAAAACTGCTACTTGTGCAAAGAGCTAATTGTAGAATTTCTCAGTGATAATATTAGATGAGCAACTGCTGGAAAAAATAATATATAACCTCAATATGCCCTTCATTGCCAATTAGTATAAAATCTTAATTAGAATCGAGGAGAAACCAAAAACATTTTTTTACCCTTCAGCTGTTCATGATGAGTCAGTATTTATGAAAACATTGTTTCATTTATATATTTATGGTTTTAGTTGAGGTCTCTCTCAGCAGTAACTTTTAGTTATAGTGAAGCTTAAACCTCCAGCTGTGCTATTTCATTATGAGTAATATTTGGGTCAGTGTAAAACTCATCTACATCAAATAGAAGCAGAAATTACCCTCATCACACAAGCACCTCATAATGCTTTCAAGAGAGACTATAATCTGATTTTTAAGAATCTCAACAAGTTCAAGTAGATTTTTAAAATTACACCAGAGTGATTTCCTCTTTAAACAAAGCCCTCCAAACTTTTCAATCACAAGAGAACAAATTGTGATGGTTTGTAGAGATAATTATACAGCCAGGAAGTGGATCTGTGTGTGTTTGAAGAGCAGGTAAATGAGCTGAAGATCATTCTGCAGCCCTACTGACATCACTGTCAACAACATAATGATATAACCAGGTGCTGTGACAAGACATAAAGGCTTCTGTGAGATAGAACAGAAGCATACAATTCAAGATGTTGGGGGATGCTTGCTCAAGATGTAGATTTTCATACACTGTAAAAACTAACAGCACATCTTAGGAAGAGAAGTAAGTAGACCGAACTTAAACATCAACAATCTTTGGGGTCACTCGTTCACCTGAACCTAAAAATGAATAATTGATGTAATAAATCTTTTGTTGTGAGTACTGCTCAATCATGGAGCATTTTAAGTTATTTATTCCAGTGTGTTCCAGTGACTTATTTATCATTGTGACTTTACCCCAGGAGGACTTTTGATTTTAACTCCTGTGTTTCCTCTACAAAACTGTCCTTAAAGGGACAGTTCATTTTTTTATTAAGTGGGATTGTATGAGGTTCTTGTCAAGAGTTGGTGTATTACCTACAGGAGATGTTGATCAGCAAGGGCCTCTCATAGAGGAAGTGGCCAGGTTACCTGTCCAGAATGATTTTGTTTGTCATGTAAAGCACTTGGACATTGTGTTGTTATATATTTAAGTTGTTTTCAGAACCTCTAAAGATCCAATCAATCTAAGACAAGTTGTAAACAGAAATAGAATAAATGTTACAGCAGTCATAAGAGCACCGTATATAAAGCATTCAAAGTCTTATGGTAGAAAAATAAATTTTAATTTGAGATGAGCCAAGTCTGTTCTTCGAGAAACAAAAACAAAGAGAGGGTTGGGTTCTCAAAATTGCTCCGAATGCTGTGACCACTCTTATCAGCTCTCCACACCGCCTTGTAACAGCTTCACATTGAAGATAAGAAAGATTCAGACAGGTCTCACTGAGAAGATGAGTTTATGTTTGGGGGTTTGTAAGTGTGAAAGCGGAAAAAAAAGGGTAAGACACTGGAACGTAGCCACATCAACAGCAGAACACAGAAGGGCAGGCGGAACCAAAGGTCCCTTCCACAGGGGGAGTGATTAAGGCGTTGCACACGACCCACAGGGGAGCGAAAGGGCAGAGAGAAGAGCTCATTACCCATAATGTAGAAGAAGAACTCTCACCTACACGACAGCCTTTAGTCTCACACACGCTCTCAACCGCTTCGATAATCAGGCTGCCTTTTGCTGAATCGAGTAAATATGATTTAAACTGCAGATGTGATTCTGAAGACGAAGAAACGGTCAACAAAGACCAATCAGAGGTGGGGAAAGGAGGAAGAGCAGGCTTAAAAAAACCTGCCTATTGATGAGTTCTCAATCTCTTTATGCAGACAACAATATTAATGTAAATGATGGTGGAAACAGTGCTCTGATTCTTCTCTCTCATAAATCCATACACAGAGGTTAACCTGAGCTCAAAGATCTGGTTTAAACTGGCTGCTCTGAGACACCAACACGATATTTTTACAAGCTTTCTACTTGCAATGTGACATAGTTGATAATAAACAGAGGTCTTTACAAGTGACAATTATAAACAATATTACCTGTAACATTCTTTTTGTCCAAACCACCTTTGTAGGTTTGACATTTTGTCTTGGTAATATCAACTTGGGCTCTTGAAATAGTGTTTAGATCATCCATATCCACCTTCAAGTCACAACCATGAATGAGAAACCAAGATCTTTTCTGAACACTCCTACATATCCAACTTTATTCTCAATATGTCAGTCGCTGCGGAAAAACGTCAGCGCCTCATCAGCAAATAAATGTTTGGGTTTTTTTTCAGCTGAAGCTATAACACTGAGTTCCTCAACTTTGGAGTCTATGAAACCTCTAACATCCTTGCAACATGACAGAACATTGGGGAGTCAGATTTTGTGCAGTTTTGTGGACTATTTTGAACAACCACAAAGGGCCGTGTAGCAATGGCGTCCACTTCTTGGGCTGGACGGCTTGTACATTAGCTAATACAGTAGCTGATGCTGAGGTGACTTCTTCCCAAGCTTCACAGTATACATGTTCTTTTGGCCTGAGGTCCTTTGGCCTTCTCTTACCTGGTTGATGATGTAGATGCCGTAGTCAATCCTCTGCCGTCGGAGGATGGGGTGGAGGTAGTGGAGCCAGTACTTTAGGTGGTTTTCTCTGTGGCGGAACGGGATGATGATGGCCACCTGAGCAATAAGGGAAAGGTTTTTGTTTATGATTTGTCACTATCAAATCAAAAATATTGACCAGAAAACCTTTCTGCATTTCTTTCAGTAGAAGAATTCCAATGAAAAAATCAAAGCCACAAGCAGCATTGAATAGGCCCTCGTATCTTTGTGCACGTCGGGATGTGTCACAGCTGTGGGGTACGTCATGGCTTGAGTTTTCATGTGAATTGGACCGTGATAAAAGGAGTAATGTGTGACTTCATGTGGCCACGTTGACCAGTGGTAATTACAGTAAGCACTGTGGTGATGCACATGACGTTCAGACTAGTAGATGTGGATGTTTGTTTGGAAACTTACCGCCTTAACACTAGGTGGCGTTGTGACTATGAACTAAATTCTGCATGCTGTTCTGTCATCAAATATGCAAAATTCATCCCACTAAAAGTGCTAATTTTTTCGGCATGTAAGTAAGAAAATGAATAAGAGTTTATTTATTCCAATAGGGACGTCAGACAACTTTTGGTGCTCGGGCCCTAATTTATAAAGTGATTAAAAAAAACCTGTCAAATCTTATGTATTAGTAAAGGTGCACCAGGTGAAACTTTTCTGTATACAAGGACAAAGATGAGACAGACTTCCTGTGTCAGAGTGTTTATTTGAGTGATTATGCCTCAATGAGTTCTGTCTCACCTTGCACTGAACTGCTCTGCAGCAGAACATCTTTTTTGTATAACAAACCCCCCATCATCATCACATCAAGTTGCTGTTCATTCATAATAAATGAAGCAGCTCAAGGATGGAGCTCTCAATGGCATCACAGATTTGAGGCAGATTTGAGTCCGTCCCGTATCTCTGCGCTCTAAGTGACTCGTTCTCAGCTGTCCAAACAGTCCAAGGCTGAGCTCTAATCTACCGTGTGGCTTCATGATGATAACACACTCACAAGAAGACAGGCAGCACTCCGACCGCAGTTTGTGCATGGTCAGGGTCGTGATGTGTGCACCTGTTTCATTTTCATCTTTGCTGCTTAAGGACGCACCTGGATCTCAGTGATGGTACAAAAGAGTAGTGAAACTTTTAACACTTTAAACTTTGTTTTAGATAACATTTCATGACGCCATACTTGAGTGTTGTTGCGCATGGCTTCTGGTGTACCTTTGTCATTTAAATAGATACTTAGATATATGGAAGCAGATTCATGCCAGGAAAAGTACAAAAAAGAAAGAAAAGAAAATAAGTTGAACATGATAGAAAAAAACACAAGAAAATGTTTTAATCACGATTAATTGCTGAATTTCAATAGTTAATCACGATTAACCCACTTTTAATCGGCTGTTTGAAATTCTTTTATTCTGCATTTCAAATCTGTTTTTTTAACTGTCTTAAACTAGAGATACTTTACTTCCTATTTTGATACAAACCTGCTTTTAATTTGAAAGAAATAAATGAGCTTTGGGTAGCTTGAACGTTATGGCATTAACATAACCACAGAAAAAGGAACACTTTAAGGATTGAAAGGTCAATGAAAACAGTGAACGCTAAAAGAGTGAAAGATTTGTGTCACAAGGGGGATATTTCTTTTGACTTGTCAACTGAGCTGTCCGAGTTTCTTCAAAGTAAAAGAGACATCAGAGGCAGAGTTGTGTGGTTCCCAGAAGCTGGGGTGGCTTACCTACAGTACGCCTAAAGGGATAAAATAGCACCTGATTAATGTGATTAAAAAGTGAATGCGTTAAAGAAAACTGAGAAAAACAGTTCTTGTGTTACAGTTATGTTTTGCTTTCTTTTAGAGGTGTGTTTCTATTTTAAAAATATTGAGTTTAGTTACATGGATTGATAAAAAAATGTGTGAAATTCAGAGCGACAGACGTATGTACAGACCTTCCATCTGGGCCGACAGTCAGGCGGCGTGTAGCGGCCTCCCTCCGTAACGTTGGGGTTTTCTTTCTGCACTCGTTCCATCGTCATCTGGGAGCTGAACTCGATCAACAAACGACCCACTGAGGTCCAAAAAAGAAAGAGAGAAAGAATTAGTGAGATGAAGAGGATAACAAGAGAAGACCGAGTAGGAGATACAAAAAAGATGACGGGCGGAGAGGAAGCAAGGAGAGGGAGTGAGGGAGTGAGGGAGTGAGGGAGCGAGGGACAGAATGAAGGAGCTTTAAGCTTCAAAGCAGCACTGTACATGTTTCAAAGCAATGTGTGCAGAAATAATAGTTTCTGGGGACACAGTATGCATAATGCAGCATTTAATAAGAAGCACAGGCTTGGGAAAACATATATTCCTGAAAAAAATATAAACAAAGACTTTGAAGTCAGTCAGAGTAAACACAACATGAAAGGTAATTACGCTGCTCAGTGATGAAGCAACAACGACCATACGTTCTATCTCTACCAATCTATCCATCATCCCTTTGAGTACTGACAGATCAAATGATATTAAGACTCATTTAAAAAAAGACAAGGGTTCGCTTTGGATCTCTGTCCCAGATCATAAATACAGAGCCTCGTTCAGGGAGCCAGGATCATTAAAATATATGAGCGAGCTCTGTTTGGGCTCCAAACCAAAGTCCTGCAAGCACAAGCAGACTCTGAGCTCTCATTCTGCAGCGAAATGTCACTCCTTAGTGAATGTGTTTTCTTCAGCGTCAGAAAAAAGGCTCATTAGTTAATTCAGAAAGCATCGAATTTAAAGGAAAAGAATGATCGTTGATAGGTGGTTACTTAAGAAAATAGAGAATCTTGTCTGTGGAGGAGTCATTCGATTTAAACTAAACTGACGGCACACCTTTAAAGGTTCGGTACATTTGTCCATTTTGTGCAATCAATCATTTTATTTTGACATTTTAGACTAACTGAACTGAGCTTGATACCATGATACCAGACAAAAATCCAACGAAATGACTGAAAACAACTTTTTATGGATTTATTTGATTTGTTCTGTGTCTAAAACCTGTCACATCTTGTTGTGCTGTGCAGAGCTGCACTCCCTTCTGTTAAAATTTGTTAGAAATACATCACTGAGCACCACTGTTTGTACCAAGTTACATTATCCTCCACTACAATAAATCAAGGTACAGCAGTTGACTCAATGTTTGAGTCATTCGCAAATTCATCATTTTTTTTTTCTGCTCAAAATAGCACCTTTCTGTGAATCCTCCCAGGGCTCGAAAAAGTGTCAGGAAACTGCGTGATTTAGTCATTTTGTGAGTAGCATTTGTAACAACCTACAGTGCACAGATGTATTAGGACATTATTCATGATTTTGATTTTTTGATTTTTAGTTTTTTTGGAATAATGAAGTTACATATTTCTGACCTGTTTTTACAGATTAGGCTCTTCATTAGCAAAGAATGGGCTCGCTGCTACAGGCTGGCAGATATTACAGTCCAGCAGAAGAGTAGCTTCACCATGTCTAAAGGCTGAAGTGCGTTTGAGTTATGTTTTGGGCCCTGTTGCCTTTATTAGATAGGACAGCTGAAGAGAGACAGGACATTCTGGCTGGAGAGAGTGGGGGATGACATGCAACAAGGTCTACAGCTTCTGCACATGGGGGTCCGCGATAAACCGCTACAGGCTTCCCTGCGCCTCATATTAAGTTTTAGAGTAACATAACAACTTAGTCCCTTTAAAAATGTAAAAATGCATTACTCAATGTAGCAATCAAGAATGTAAGAAAGCAAACAAGAGAAGACGAAAAAAGAAAAGAGAAGCTGGGCCGTAGTGCTTCTAGAAATGTCTTAAGTCAACACTGAAGGGACCGGAAACAAATGATCAACTGGATCTCTTTTCATCTGAGTTAAAGATACTTGTGATAAATGCCTTTGGTTTTTGAAGATTTGTTCAATATTGCAATAACAATAGGAAGTGTGATAAATAATAAAAAAAATGCATAAAAACTTCTTTCAGACTTTTTAAGTCTTTTTTCTGTTCTTTGTGTTTTACAGAATAACTGTTTACATCATGTTCCTCCTGAATGAAATACCTGTTGAAAATGTTTTATTAGCACCAATGTATTAGCACAAATGATGTGAGGCTATCTGACAGCTAGCTTTAACGTCATCTGACTCAATCAAAATGAAAAAAAGAATATATATATAAAAATATAACATAATGTAAAAAAAAACATTTTTTCTTCTTTATTGAGAAAAATTTAGACTTTTCCAATGTTGTTCATTTTGAACAGTCCCATACATTGAAAATTACCGTGCAGTCCTAATCTGCACCACAGCTGGTTTGAGCGGCCCCAGTACAGTTATTTCACGTTTACAGTAACATATTGTACTGAAAACAAAAGAAGAACTCCAGACTATTTCAGCTAGGATTTCTTGTCTCTGCCTCTGGATTCTAAAAATACACAACAAACAGCAGAAACTTCAATCTAACACAAGATTTTCTAAAATAGGACTCAATTTATTGCGTTTACCTGACTCAGATATTCAGCCTTTTTCATTAGGGCCACAGGATGTGGTCAAAGAGGCTGAAAAAATGCTGAGAAAATGTGAGAAAACCTTTAAAACCTTTAAAAAATTTTAATAGAATTTGTAGACAATGGGAAAGCTATAGAACGACATTCTACATCATGAAATATTTTTGAAGTCATATAGGTTATCAAAAATAAGATATACATGATTCTGTTGCAGCTATATAAATAACAGGTGATGCATGTCATGTGTAGGGGTACATGTTTGATCACACAGCGTGAGAGCTGCAGAGAGCAGAGATCAAGTTCAGTAAAGGTATACGAGATAATAATCCTCTTAGCATTGACGTATGGGCTTTGTGCTGAGAGGTCTCCTCCAATCAACGCTGCTGATGCGAGGAGCGTGATCGATGCCAACAAGGTTACATGTTCATAGCACACCTCTTTATCAAACCACAAGAGCTGAATGCAAAATATCCCCACAGCCCCGTCCACTGGCTGCCTCCGCCGCCCGTCACCCACAGTCTTCTCCGTCCTCTCTCGTGTCTCCGTTTGATTTTTCTCTTTCCGCCTCTCACAGTAATGAGACAGTAAGTGGAACATAGTGTTTTCATCTCGTCTCAGGATGACGTGAGTCAGCGCTCGTGCAGAAAAAAAAAAAAAGGACACACCGACAGGAAACACAAGTTCTCACACTAAATGATGCTATTTTTAGATTTATACGGTAGGTTGTTTGTTGTTGTTCGACCCATATTGTCAAAAATTAATTGATGCAGTAATCTTTGAGGATCAGGCAAATAGTGCAGTGAAGTCTTCTGTGGAAAAACTAACCCACTTCAGGGATTGCTTTATTTAGGGCAAGTCTGGAATTCATTTCAAGGCAATGAGAGCTTTGTTGTTGTTTTCTGCACGGTGGATCTACGGCACACACGGCGACCTGGCTATACTTTAATATGTGATTTATGATATCAAGGTTGTTTGGGTGGTATTATACGTCTTCTGGATGTGGTTTCCATTTCAGCCTGATCCCACCACACCGACACACGGGCTTTTAGAATTTCTTCATGTGCTTTGTATTTTTAGATTCTTGTGTGAAACAATAAATAAATGAATACAACTGCAGCATCACTGTGTTCATTTTGTAGCTGTAAAGACTCAGCTTTCTGTTCCAACACAGTGCCGTATGCAGTTTTCAAACAGGTCATGTTGAGGGTTAATGTTTGCAGAGAACCGTCCCAACATGAATGGAGCAACATGACTCAGTAAAGTCTAATACAAAGCTCAACTGTGAATCCAACAGATCCAGCACTCAGTACTATGACAGACAGACGGACGTCTCATCAAAGATCAGAAGTCAGAGTTCTTTTTACTTTTATATACTGTATATTCATTTATATATCAATATAGATTCCGCCACCAGGGGACTCTAAATCATCCATCCATCCATTATCTGTACCACTTTCCGTGTTCGGGTCGAGGGAGGCTGGAGCCGATTCCAGCCGCCACTGGGCGAGAGGCGGGGTACACTGTGGTGTGTTCGCCAATCAATCACAGGGCTGACATGCAGAGACAGACAACCAGCCACACTCACATTCACACATACAGGCAATTTAGAGTCAAAAAATTGACTTAACCAGCATGTCTTTGGTCTGTGGGAGGAAGCCGGAGTACCCGGAGAGAACCCACGCATGCACGGATAGAACATGCAAACTCCACACAGAGAGGCTTATGTCTGACAGGGATTTGAACCAGGAACGTCCCCGCTGTGAGGCAACCAGCGCTAACCACTACACCACCGTGCAGCCCCGGCTCTCAATCAATACTGCAATAACAGAAGATGACGTTGAGGCTGGCCCAGAATCATGGGAGTTCGATAGACGAGGATCTACTACTTACTTTTTTCTTCATTTGACAAAGCATATCGCCTCAGATAACAAACTAGTACTTCAATTCAAAAAGATTCCAACATTACACTAGTTTAATGTTTTAGAGCCAGCTGAGAAATCGTATGGGATAAAAACTACACCATCTAGATACGTTGATGGTAAGTTGATTGGCGCAAATGACGAGACAAAAAGTGATCAGCCGCACGGTAAGAGACTCACGTCACTCTCGCATCACGATGTCTGCATTATTGTCGGCGCTGAACTCAGAGACACACTGTTGTTGTTTTGATTAGAAGTGAAGGTGACAGGCAGAGGTCAGGCAGCTTCCAAATAGACTGCTGACGTGAGTGAAGGAACCTTTTTAAACCATCACCAAGATCATCCTGTATTACTGTGACAAGCAAGAGATCAATAATACAAAGTGAGAGTATGAGTGTGTTACTGAGGAAAAAACACACACAGAGAGAGAAATATGTGTGTGTGTGCATGTAAGAAAAAAAAAAAGGTAATGTGGTTTTGAGCTAATGATGAGGAGGACAAGTGATTAATGAGAACTGTAATGAGTGGTAGCAATTAAAATGCATGTACATCACACACATACACATACACATATTATCTAAGCTTATCTATGTGGTGATATTACAGTAATACATGACAGGATGATTGACAACCCACACTGCAAATACACACA